CCTTCCCGCGAGCCGGCTGCCCCCCAGACCCGGCTGCCTTCCCGCGACCCGGCTGCCCCCCAGACCCATTCGGTCCTTTCCCCGCAGGGCGCCGCCCTCGTCAGAGCACGGACGGCCCAGGCCCCCCGCCAGCCGGCCGCACGGAGCTCGACGCCAAAGCCAGCACCTGAACGAGCCAGAGCCAGCCGTGCAGACGGCCCCCTGGAAAGGGGGCTGCGGGCCGTGCAGAACGACAAACGACACATTCTGGAACGTTCCAAATGTCCTGAGTAGAGAGAATTGTGTTTATTTAACCACGTAAAATGCATATATAGGAAACTTCTCTATTTGGGAGCTGGTGGCCTGCACTCAGCATCGCACAGATAAAAATATACGACTTTCAACACAGATCTAAATACCTTCACATTTTAAAAATCAGAATTCTCTACACAAGTTTTAAGCCGACAGAATTCAAGTTCTGAATTTTCATATATAGCTTTAACTTGTATTAAACACATGTTTATTTACAGGGCGAATAGAGAAGAAGGGGCTATTAAGGCCATTTTCTCATTGTGAAACACTGCAAAATATGTACATAAGTACAACCTAATATAGGCAAAGGTTCTAAAAGTCATTTTCTTGGTTTGACGTAATTGAGTATCGGTACGGGAGTAAGGACGGCCTGTCGTTAGCACCAAGCCGCCCCGCAAGGACGTACACACCTGCTTCCACGCCCAGCCGCACAGGGCTGCTGCTGAGGTGGGCCCCGTGCTGGCACGAGTGTGCGCTGTGCCCAGGCCGGCCTAAAGGGCACCTCACCGGCCTCTTGAGTCCATCTCCAAATTCATCACAAGGTCCAGAGTCAACAGCCATTTCCAAAAAGAGTTGCACCACAGGGCCAGTCATGCCACAGGTGCACACCGAGGGGCAAAGGGCAGCACTCTGGGAGCCCAGCGCCTCACCTCCGATGCCTGCTGTGCCCAGGGTGATCCCGCTCGTAGCGATGGCTTGTTCGCTCATACGACCGAGAACGCTCCCTTCGCTGATCTCTATAGTAATGACTTTTTTTCTTGTATTTCCCGGAACTATCTGCCCGCTCCCGTGAGCGGCTTCGAGACCGAGAGGAGCTCCGACTCCGGGACTTGTGTGGCTTCTGGGTGGGGTACTTGCAGTCCTTAGACTTCCGGTAGCTCCTCACCTTGGAGCTTTTGTAGGGAGCACCTCTGTGTGCCTGTCTCGGAGGGGAGTCACTCCTGCTCCGTGAGCGGCTCTGCGACTTGGACCCGCCAGATGTGGAGCCGCTGTCACTTTTCCTGTGAGGAAGGACAGCACCACCAAACAGGTGACCACTCACCCAACCACCTCAGGGTCAGGAATGACTTTCCTGTGAGGGGCAGCCACATCACCAATAGCCACCCTGGGGAAAATATCCCTTGCTAGGTGCAGCCCCCCCCCCCCCCCCCCCCCCCCCCCCCGAGCCCTGAGCAGCACATACCTCCTCTTAGGAGAAGCAGATCGTGATGGGGACCTTGAGTAGCTCTGCTCACGACTCCCGCTCCGACTTCGACTCCCTCGCCCCTTTGGCAAGCTGAGAACAAATGGTGGGAGCAATTACAGGCTTCAAGTCTCTCCAGCCAACCCCAAAGGCCTGCTGGGGCGCTTGGGTACTCACCCATTCACCGGGCTGTCAGCCTTAACTTTCTTCACACCCTCCATTTTCCTCTTGGCGTTCTTCACAGAGAGCGGGGAAGGCTTGTTTCCTTTACCTTCTTTAGGGGATTCTGCTAGAATCAAATACAAGAAGTTAAAACCTGACCGCCAGGAAAACTGTTCTGATAGAAAACACATTAGCAGAGCAAGACAATACCACTTCTACGGGACTTACGGAGACTCCCTGTTCCCAGCCTGGGACTCAGAACCTAAACATGCACCCGAAAGACACAGAAAAGCCACCTGTCTCACTTGCCTTCTCTCAGGGGACTGGGGATGTGCATCATGCTTAACTCTAATATGACCCAAAAAAACACAATCTACTACGCCAGATTTATAAAATTTTCATCAGAAAACTAATTAGGTGAGCTGGGTTTAAAAAAAAAAAAAAAAAAAAAAAAAAAGACATTTTGAAAAGCTTGTCCACGTCCCTAATGAAAATATAAAAACCAACAGGCTCAGTTGATGGAGTATGCAATTCTTGATCTCAGGGTTTTAAGTCTGAGTTCCACATTGGGTGTAGAGACTACTTAAAATATTGGGGCGCCTGGGTGGTTCAGTCGGTTAAGTGTCTGCCTTCAGCTAGGGTCATGATCTCGGGGGTCGTGGTATCAAGCCCCGTGTTGGGCTCCCTGCTCGGCGGGGTATCTGCTGCTCCCTCTCCCTCCGCCCCTCCTCCCCACCCCACTCGTGCACACTCGAGCGCATGCTCGCTCTCTCTCAAATGAATAAATAAAATCTTAGAAAGGGAAAGAAAACACAAAAACGATGAAAACTCCTTTAGGAGTGACCTTCTCACTTCAAAAATCAACAAATGTCTGCTGGGGACCCTGGTGCCTGCAGGGAGCTCAGGCCAGCAGCAGACACAGTTCCAAGAAAAATCTGGAGGAAAGGAGGGCCACGCACCCTCACACTCACCCAGCTTGGGGGCAGGTGAGAACCCTGAAGTGCTGTCCAGAACCTGGGTGCCAGCAGGCAGCAGACCCTTAGCTTGTGCCTTGGCCTCTTCAATGGCGTGCCTTCTCTTCTCAACTTCACTTTCAAGGTGTGTCAGATCAACCTATGGGAGTCAGAATCCAAAGAAATTCAGGACCAGATGCTTCTAGTTAAACACAAATGCATATGTTACATGAAAAAACATAGAACCTTTTTCCGAGTATAAAGCTGCAGGATTTTTAAGCAGATTTCCTGAATTTCATCTTCAGTTGCTCCAAACAAAAGAAACCAATGGGGACGATTGGGCAAAGGGATCTGTAAACACAAATACCATCACTGTTAATACTTTCTTTTTTGGCCAACAAGATTCTTAGGGCAATAAAAAACAAGCCTTGCTGGTCACCAAGAGACAGCCTTTTTATTGGCATCGATGAGCATAATCTGAAGAACACCACACAGAAGTTTACTGGAGAAAGAATCAGACCAGGATCCCCTGTGGTGGCGCAACACTGACCTCCAGTGTCCGGGCAGCAAGATAAATGCAGGCACAGGCGATGCTCTCAGGCTGGAACCTCACGAAGACATCTGTGCGAAGGCTGTCATTCATGTAATTCCTGAAAACCAAATGCAGGAAAGACTGCAACGCTCCGGGCACCCCCAGGATACCCGTGTGCATCATCTAGATACGTTCACTACTCTACACAGTCTACTCCTAGGCTTAGAGCTACACAGTCCTGTGAGGCTCAGGATTCCTGGAGAGACATTCTAGCTGCTTTTTGTGAGTACAGGACAGGAAAACAGGGAAATTACTGGAAAAAAAATCTAAAAAGCTGGCTGAATGTCAGACAACACATGTTGCTATGAAAGAGAACCGACTTTAACTTTACTTTTCCCTCAACTTCTGGCTGTTCTCGTGCAAAGCACAATGCCTCAGAGAGAAAATGTCTACTGTAGTGGCTGAAATGTACTTGATGAAAGAAATCTAAATGCTCAAAATCCATAGTGCAGAGAAACATGCAAACTCAAATGAATGGGCTGAGCAGGCAGCCTGCGAGGGCTCTTCTGAGACAACGCGTCCTCTTGCATCCCTTTTCCTCGAAGAGGTGCTCAGGGCCTGGCCCTTCTCCTTCCATGAGGGAGTCCACTTGGAAAGGGAAAACACCCCTGGGCGCATGGGAACATCATGCAGAGGAAGGCTCAATGCCCAAAGGGAAGTCCTCTTCTCAGGCATATCAAAGAACCGTTTCCAAATTGTCCCATTTCAATAACGAGTCTTAAAATGAACATTCATAAAATCAGACAAAAGCAACAAAACACTACAAGTTTCATCATAATCAATACATTTAAAAAACATTATTGTACTTTAAAAGATAAAAATACAAAACATTTGCATTTTTTAAAAGTTTAAGGGTTTTAAAACTGGCTACGTTTTCAACATTTTCCTTTAGATATTATTTATCTGGGATTTAATAGACCAAAATCAGGATCTCATATTAATATATTTCACCAATATGGCATAAAACAGATTCCATGAGAAAACAGTCGAATAAATGATACATTTGCTGTTCCTAACATACCCCACTATGGCAACCCTTAGAGTCAGGCCACACCCACAGGGTAGCCAAGTCCTGCCGTGTGATTTGACTAATACACCCCCACCCCAACCCTGGTAACTTTGTCTTAAACCCTGGAGAAGGTGACACACAAACCCACTCAGATTTCTCAGTGATATATTCAACATATGCCAACTGTGGCACCTGGCTCTGGAAGCTCTTGCTCCAGGCATCAAGAGATAATCAAGGAAAAGACCTACATAATGGCACCAAGGCCATAGGTCTCACAGCATTGCAAGCGAACAGTTCAAACACTTCATAAACATAAACATCAGTAACTTTTTTAGTTCTAATAAATTTTCAGTACTCAAATAGTGAGAACATTACTCTATTAACTTTTAAATCCTAAAAACAAATGAAGTCCTTGAAATGTATATTTAAACTTATTGCTTATCTAAGTTACAATATAAAAAGTGTCCATGAAATAATTTAAAGATGCACACCTTTTACTAGAACGTGTCAACACTTAGCTGCTGAAAAGAGCAACTTTAGGACTTCCAGGAATAATGACAGAATCCCATACTGAAGTCTGAATTCCCATCAGCCAATTCTTACAGCTTTCCATAGAAATATTTTTTTAGGAGAAAGGTACTGCATCTTTATTGCACAGGTACAGCAGTTTCAAAGGGACAAAATTCAAGTCAAGACAGTGAACTCTAATCAATACAATTACCAAGCACGACAGGGTTAACAAGAAGCACCACCGTCAGAGAACCACAGCAGCAGTCGGCCAGCACTATACTATCGTGCGCATACCACCATCTAGAGCCAGCCTTCGGTGGAGAGCCTGCACTGGATTGGCTGAGGACGGCCGCTGTCCCTGCACCAAAGCGCTTGGACAGTAGAGGAGAAGTCTTAGTCACTTACCCTCAGAGGCTACCCTTTGATTGAAAGAGTACAGAAAAGAAAAGTCAAAATAGGTTCTCTATTAGATATGGCATAGCACCAGACAATTCAGGCAGCAAAAATATGACCCTTACAGACTTAACTCCGTGGAAAAAAATTCACAAAGCACCCAGCACTATTACTTCAGGCTTCATTTCTAACATATGCATTGTTTAAAATCAGTCCCAGAAAAACTTTACCCTAACCCTCTTTCTCCCACAGGATCCTCTCTAATAAGAGGCAGTTAGAAGCAACTTCCAAGGAGACATAAGACCACTACATCGACGCTGGCACCTGTGGGAAAGATCCCGATGTGCCAAGTCACCAACCCTCAAAGGGAAGCCCAGTGAACGCTCTCCTGGAAGGCCGGGGGAGGGTGTGGGCCACCTTACCGTTACACTAGTGCCTGATATTTTGGGAGGCTGGTTAGAATCTACACAGCAGGAACACTGGGCACTCAGACAACTCCAGCCCACAACCAAGTCATGGGACTGACTACCCACTGCCCAAGTGCCTCAAATCAACATATTCCTGCACTGCCCTTGCTGGTCTCATAAAACAAGGAAGGTCAACTCACCATGAGGTCTGGACCAGGTGCTGGTTACGCTCACACTCTAACACCTGAAGGTACATAACGATTATCTGGAAGATACAGGTCAGCCAGTTATTACCGAGAACCCTGAGAACCCACAATTCAGATCTTGAGAGCATCCATGCAGTAAATACGAGCCTCATGCTAGATCCCAGGGGTGGCTCCTGGTCATATGCCCGGTGCACAGCTCAGCTGGAGGGGAGTTTTTGCTGACAGGCCCCGCTACCTGCTTTCGAACCCAGGCTGCACCCACCGCAAAGGCAGCTGCATCTTTCAGGGCCATCACAAGGCTGATTCTCATTCTCATCTTCAACATAGTTTCCACCAGTGAGATCAGCTTGTCCTAAACATCTCTGTACCCTAGTCACCACTTTACACAAAACATGGTGTGAAAATACTTTCAGCAAATGAAAAAAAAGTCTAAAATCTATGGTAACTTATCAAGAATTTGAATTAATGCCAGAAAGTCAAACAAGCAAGAGACCCATCAATAAAAAGAGAATAAAGGAAAGACGCAAACTACGATCTTTTTTTTTTTTTAAAGAAGTTTATGCGTCTCATAAAAGGTTCCCATGGTACTGTATGGCAGCCACGCTCAACTGTCATGCGCTGGCAAAGCTGCTTTAGTTCATTTCCAAATAAAGGGTTCAGAATCCTTCCAATTCCCCACTAGAGAAAATAAAGCTATCACTAAAACAACTTTAGAAAATGAGCTGTTGAGAAAGAAAAACATAAACTAACAGATACCATTTTTACAAATTCACTATTTTTTTTGAAAGCTCAAACTTAAAAAATAACCAACCATTCCAAAACTCTTGAAAACATAAAATTAACAGGTAGTATATAAAGACAACTAACAAATAAGAAATTATTTTCAGATTTTAGATATAAACTGGAAAAACAAATCAGGAACACATTTACTCTTCTTCAGAGTTTTCAATCTTGGTGAGAACGGAGCAGTCAGGTGGGCTCCCGTGGCAGCTGGGCCACATACCCACCTTGTGAGGGTGCTTCACGTGGACACAGAAACCCAGCTCTTTGAGAACTCGTCTTTCTGCCTTTATAATTTGATTCTTTAAGTTAACATAATCTTGATCCAATAGTAGAGGCACAGGTTTCCTACACAGACAAAGCACATGTCCACATAAGGGTCAAATAAAACAATGTCTCTCAAATCCCAATTACCTCCAAATGGTGAAAATCCACTGTGAACACCGCAATACAGATGTAGCCTTTAACAAAACCAGAGAATCTTCCTCAAACCCCAGTGCTAACCTGCTTATCACTTCTCAGTAATACTCTCTTTTCCTTCCAAACAGTTCTCTGATGCACAACGAACACAGAGCAGAAGATTTCAAAATCCCATCACACAAGTACTAACCGCACATTACCTGGCTCAAAACAAAAGTTTATGTGTTATGGGTGAATGGAAAACCAAAGAACCAATGGGAGCAGAACATTTAAACAGCCTGAGGCTCGATTTTCCAAAGGACCGTCCACTTGAGAGGCATAAAGTCTGGGTTGTCCAGGCAGTGGTTCTCAACCAGGGCACAATTTTGCTATCCCAGGGCCAGGTGTGGAGACGTTTTTGGCTGTCATAACTGAGAGATGAACCGTTAGCATCTAGTCTGTAGAGACCAAGGACACTGCTCAACATCCCACAATGCACAAGACAGCCCTCACAACAAAGACTCATCCAGCCCAAAATGTCAACAGTGCGGAGGCCGCAAACCCAGCTCTAGAACATTCAGCGACAGGCATGGGCGAACAGGGAGACCAGTGCCGACAAAACCGCAGCCACAGTTCCCCGCCCTTTTTACCATGATCCCTTCGCTCGCTGAACAGCACCTGCGGGGCACCTCCTGGGCAGCAGGCCCTCTCCTGGACACAAGCTTAGCGCTTCACACCCTGAGTTTTGTTTCAGAAACGTCTGTGGACCTTAAGCACAGAAACCAGGAGACTCACCTCTTCTCTCTCAGATGCCGAAGGCGATGAAACACATTGATGACGTCCCGGATGCGTCTCGGAGCCTCCTCTATCTTGGAGGCCAGGTGAACGCAGGCCATTGACACATGCTGAAACGCAAGCATTGCAACACGCGCGTGTGTTCCTTCCACCCACCACGGTCTCCAACGGCTCAGAGGAGCGATGAAGAGCGAGGCCCAGGGCGCAGGGGCACCCAAGCACAGAGCCGCCGTGGGGAAACCACCCTGCGTCCCGGGGGCGGGGACCCCGACCCCGCCGCGGAACAGCAAAGCCGCGCTTCCCCGCCACGCGTTTCTGCGCGAGGCTAACGCGAGAAGGCGCTCACCTCCATGGAATGCTTCACAAAAGACTTGGTGTAGAAAAACCGCTGGAACAGCACCTGCCCGGTAGCCATAGCCACCTGGAAAAGACGAGCGTCCCATCACTTGCAGCAGCACAGTTCGCACTGAAGTCGCCTGTTTCGTGCAACCGACGCAGACCCAGACACTGCAACCTTCTGCAGGTCCACAGAGGCTCTTCGCGTCCCGCCGCCTCGCGTCCCGCCGCGTCCCCCTCATCGCCCCCGAGGGACAGCAGCGATGAGACGCGGGGCCGGGGCCGGCGCTGGACCCGGCCCCGCCGCCAACAAAGGGCCCGGCCGCCTCCCCCGGCGCCGGCGCGGCGGTTACCTCGGCCGAGGCTCGCGGCCGCGCCCTCACCTGCGGCAGGCGGAGCAGGATGCCGGCCGCCTGGATGAGCTCGCAGCCCACCACGCGCAGGTCGGTCTCCGTATCGGTGTCGAGGCCACTCGACATGGACGGCGTGAAGCGCAGCTTGTCGTCAGGCAGGAGGCAGTTCTCCAAGGTGATGAGCACCCCGGAGTACAGCCGGTCCCCGATCAACATCCCCTGTGACCCGGGGGCTGCGCTGCCCGAGCCCGGGGCACAGGCCGCTGCGGCGGGGGCCGCCGGCCCCGGAGCGCCGGCCGCGACCGTCGCCGCCGCCGCCGCCATTTTGTGCCGCCGACTCCCCTTCGGGCTCCTTCCCGGCAGGGCGGCTCCTCGCGACGCACTACGACCGCGACCGCCCCGCCCCCCCGCGTATCATTGGTCCGGTCTGCGGGCGACCCGGCGCCGCCTTGCCGCGATTGGCTGGGCGACCTACCCGTCAGCGTTGCGGCCGACGTCGACGCCGTAGCCCAGCGCGGACGCGGGGGAGGGGGGGCTCGTTACCCAGAGAGCCCCGCGGCCCCGGGTGAGCCCGAGGTCCACAGCCCGACCCGGAAGCACTACCGCGGGGGCCGGCCCCCGGCGCCCTTAAGCTCCGGCTTCCCCGGCGCGGCCGCGCTTTCCGCACAGAGATCCGGCAGCGGGAGGAGCCCCCGCCCCGCAACCCCGGCCTGCCCTGAGGGGGTCCGCGAGGGTGCGTGCGGGCGCGTGGGTGCCGGCGGGGGTCGCAGGCCTCCCGGGCGGGGGGCCGCGAGCGCGAAAGGGTTGGCGCGCGCCGGTGAGTCGTCCGCAGCCCGCGCCTGCAGCAACGGGATGCGGCTCGCCTGCGCCCGTGCGGGGTGGCTGGCGCGGTCATCCCTCTCCGGTCCTCACTGAGCCCGGGCTTCGGGGGGCAGACGCTAGCACGGGGTTCCCGAGGTTCTTGCCTCCGGAACAGAGTCCGCAGGGGAGAGGACTAACCGAATTCGAGGTTTCTGCAAAGCCTGCGGAAACGCAGAAGTCGCTCCCGGGATGGAGGGCAAGGGAGCTCGGACTTGGTCCTGCAGGGGGAGCCTCGGAGGAACCCCCCTGGACTCCCCAGCGGTTCCACCAGGCAGGCTCAGGGCCGCGCTCGCATCCGTCCCAGGGTCCGAGCTGCGGCTTTCGTTCTCTGCCGCTGTACGTTAGCCCAGACTTCCAGCAGGACTAGTGCAAGAACCCACGTGAGGGTGGTGGGAAAGCCTGGGTGGGGTCTGCTGGGAGGAGATTACAGGGTAGAAGCCTGGGTGGCACAGGTCCAGACACTCGGAGATGCTACTGACTGCACCCAACTCAATTGCCCAAACCGAGAGGCCACCAGTGGCTTTCACTCCTGGTGAAACTTACCCTGCAGCTTACATAGTGCCAACCAAGACCCAACCTCTCTTCATCTCTCCTACCCCCAGGCTCTCAGCTCCAGGCTGTACCCACTCTGTGGGTAAAAGTTACCTGGGCATGATGGGGCCGACTACAGACCCAGTGGCAGGAAGCAAGAGGTAGAGACCAGAGCTGGCCAAGAGGGGAACAGACTCAAGCTGGAGGGAGCTAAAAGTACATGCGAGAGAAGCTGAGGGTAGAAGCAGCTCACTAATAGGGTAATGGAAGGGACCTGGACTTGAGCCAGGGGGATGGATTCCCCTGCAAGGCAGCGGGCAGAGATGGATGGACATAAGGGGGTTGCAGAGTTAGAGCTGCTGTGAGTATGTTGGGAAATTGTTCTTGGACTTGATTCTATACTTAATGAAGGAGAATATCTGAAGAAGGGACCCAAAACCCTTACGTTCAGATCTCCCCACAGGTGATGTGATGGTCACCTGTGAGCACTAAGGTGAGACTGGAACCAGGAGAGCCACCCAGCTTGCTGCTCTTACTGGCCTGGGGAGTGAGGTAGAAAGCAGAGAAATTGGAAGTGGCACTCAGACTGGCCAAAAAGTTGAGCAACGGAGTCCCTGCTGGAAGGTGGAGACCAGGGGAAGGCTAGGAGGGTAGAAGACTAAGTCAAGCATAGGCAGGGCCAGATGTGGTTGGGAGGCTTTGGGTTCTGGACAGGCTACCAGCACAGCCCTGAGTGGGGAGCCAAGGTCAGAGTTCACAGAGATCTGGCTCAAACTCCCCCAGCTACAGAAGATCATGCTCAGCTGCCCCTCACCCTGGCAGTCTCTCCCCACCTCCGACAGGGCACCCGAGGCATGTGTGCTTATGCCAGAGAACACAACTCAAAATGCTGAACACCACATGAGCTTTATTTGTACAGTCTGTAAGATTTCTAGATCTGTCCCAGTGAGGGAAAAAGGGGCCTCTTAAACCTGTTACTAAAATGCAAATTAATAACTGTTGAACACACAGTGTTGACAAATAATTGTTAGACCCTATTTTTACTACTGTGATCATCGGAGGGAAAAAAAAACCTTTTCCTAAGATACTCAGATGCAAAGGGCAGGCAGTGTTGGAATCCCCCTCAGTGATCCTGCACCACTCTGGAAAATATGCCTTCGGGCTCTTTCCCATCCCCCAGGGCAGCAGCAAATCCTTCCTGTCGCCTCCTTTTGGCCAAAGCAGCCAAAGATTTAAAAGTCTTTGGTTCATAGATGGCTAGATCCGCAAGTACTTTCCTGTTGAGCTCCACCTGGCACTGGGAAGAAAATCAGAGCCCGTGTCAGAATCAGAAATATGTTTCAGTGAAAAGCGGCAAGACTGGATGCAGCCAAGAATCCTATGGTTTGAGTTGGGGGGAAGCATCTCCCCTACTGAACACATTGCATGGCTCCAGGGCAGTCTCATGCCCTCACCTTTGGGGAGGTGGAAAGCGCGTGGCGAATGTATCCAAGCAGGATGCTGGAGGATAAATGTGCACAAGGGGAAGGCATCCCTGCAAGATGTCACATGAGCAAGGATGTTGGCATCTGGTCCTGGTGCCAGCCATGGAACTAACAATCCTGTTAGGGTCAACAATCGATCATTACCCAGACAGAACTATGACTGCTGGCCTGGGGTAACCCTTTAAGTCAGCTTCGAAGAGAAAATCACAATTCCCCTTCTACAAACAATGAAATGCGACACAGCAAAGTATGAGATGCAGGCAGAGTAAGGAACAGAGTAAGGAACAAAAGGTGTTCTCAATTTCCACAAGGGAGCGAAACCAGATCATCTATCAAGGTAAACTGCATGCAACTTCCAAAAACTGAAGAATTTGAAAAGCAAAAGTAAAGTAAGATGATCCCTGCGTGTTAACCACAACTATGCAGGGGTGGTTCCCGCTCTACTACCTGGGCCTTGTGTGTCTTGGCCAAGGTTCGCTCTTCTGAGCCTGAGGCTCATCAGTAAAATGGCAATGTCATGCATGAGGATACTTGCAAAGTACCAAAGACAGGATCTGGTACAAGCTAGAAGCACAACACCCACTCCCCTTTTGAAGAAAAAACAAATGCACACAAAGCAGAGAGATTAGCATAAACACTAGATTCAACAATTAACTAAGATTTTGTGACACATGCTTAATCTCTCCTGTCCAAGACAGTCCCCGTGCTGTTTGACTAGGAGTTTCAACTTCATCTGCTACCTCATCAGAAATCTTTCAGTGCAAAACCTTGAAATTACACTTTAAAGTTAAAGGCAAGTTTTCTGCCCCTTTTCTCTTGATGGGGAAACACAAGGGCTCATGTCCTGGTATCAGCTGTCCTATTTCCAAGGCAAAGCAATTGTGATGGGTCCCTGAACCTGCCAGAACTCCACCTTGAGAACGTGTCAGGGAGCCAACACTCCACTGCCCATTGTACTGGCTGATGTCAGCTGGATCACTGTAGATTTCAACATCTCAACAGAACCACATCCTCAACCATACCTTAATTAAATTGACCATGAATGCTGGGTACTTCAGGCCGTGTTCCTGGGAGGCAGCTGTAATTCGATTAATCCAGAGCTGAAATAAGAAAACATTGAAATGCTTAAGAACTAGTTGTGCATTATGTCCCCACCTACCAACAAAGGTTCTGAGTCAACTAAAAGTCAAATTAAACTCTTTTTGCACAAGTAAATAGAAAAATCAGTGATTTCTCTTCAGGCACACTGGCCTGCAGTACAGTCAATTAGCAAAACTTGATGCTCTTCATTCAAATGCCAGCTTCCTTGTGAATAAGTAGTTAAGGGGCGCCTGGATGGCTCAGTCGTTACGCGTCTGCCTTTGGCTCAGGTCATGATCCCAGGGTCCTGGGATCGAGCCCCGCATCCCACATCAGGCGGGCTCCCTGCTTGGCGGGAAACCTGCTTCTCCCTCTCCCACTCCCCCTGCTGCTTCCTCTCCCACTCCCCCTGCTTCTTCCTCTCCCACTCCCCCTGCTTGTGTTCCTGCTCTCACTGTCTCTCTCTGTCAAATAAATAAAATCTTTAAAAAATAAGTAGTTAAGTCACATGCTGTAAAGCATTAATTCAATACACGTTTTTAGGCCTTGAGACTACAAAGGTGAGCAGAAGAGTCTGTGGCAGACACAGCTCAGTGCAGAAAGGATCCATGTGGATGAATTACAACAGCCACTGAGATCAGTGCTACCAGATGGGGATGAAAAACTTGAGGTGGAAGCTTCATGGAGGTGGAGGTAAAACAGTCTTGAGGGAAGAGCAGGGCTGGAGGGGAGGGGAGGCATCAGGAGAACCTTCCTGGCAAGGAGTAGCAGGGTGAGTTCCAGGCACAGCAAAAGGTCTGAAAACTGTAGGGACACCAAGGCTAGTGGTTAGATCCAGAATGATCTGTCAGAGTGATATGGAAGCTTCTGAACAGATCTGGTCTTTTAGACAAGGGGGTGGATTATGGGGTGCCTGACTGGCTCAGTTGGTAGAGCATGCAAGTCTCAATCTCAAGGTTGTGCATTCAAACCCCACACTGAGTGTAGAGATTACTTAAAATCTTAAAAATAAGGGTTTGGATTCTTAAGCCATCCTTTACTCAATGTTAAGACAGTACTCAAGTGCATTTTCTTCCTTTACTTCAGTGGTTCTAAACTTTGAACACGCATGAGAATTATGTAGAGGTTTGTTATATTTCTCGCCCCTGCCCCCAGAGTTTCTGATTCAGTAGGTGTGCTGGGGCCTGAGAATCTGCATTGCTAACAAGTTCTTAGATGAGGCAGAAGCTGTACAGGGACCCCCCCCCCCTTGAGATCCTCTGCTCCCATTAGCAGCAAACACGTGTGTGCTACCAGACACTGCTCACAAGTCTTCCCATACACGTGTGGACTGACCCGATCCCTGCAGGGTCATAGGACGCAGCCTCACCTCTAGCATTCTGAGTAAATGAAAGGCATGAAG